AACCTTTCATTTTCAAAAAAAAAAAAAAAAAAAAATTAGTGTTACATGATGATATATCACTGCTAGTTTATTTAGCATATTACTATGGCAACGCGTCACGTTAAATATTTATCTACTTGGAATATTTGCATGTGTTCTATTTATTTGTTAACTTTACAGCAAAACAGCACCCCGAGGACATCATACCACCGTACTCAACAAAACTAATTTTCTTTTGAGCAGTGAAAAGAAATGATAGTTCAGCAGTTTATAATGCACAGCCATTCCAGTCAACGTACACAATAAAACCTAACTATTCCAGGAAACATAACGACCTTGTACCACCTACTCCCTCAATATTTTTAATTACTTAAAAAATAAAGAAACATCTTCCACACAGCGTTTTTTGTATTTCTTCTTTTTGTGGGGGTGGGGGTGGGGTGGGGAGGGGGCAGGGGTTGGTGGTCAATCGTGTTATTACATTCACAAACATCTTCCACACAGCGTTATTTGGTTCATCAGTCGTGTTATAACATTCCGGTCACTGGTTTTAATGAGAAGGCAGAATAATAATAATTATAATCACAATAATGAAATAAAAAATCAGGATTCCGTAACTTGTAGCTGCCAAATAATTCTGATAAAAAGGAAGAAAAAAAAAATAATAAAATAATAAAATAATAAAATAATCAGCAAATCATCACATAAAACAATCGTGTCTCCCGTTTTATCAACATATACATTATACCATATATGACAGAATGGCAGGCTCTTGTGTAACAAACAGATACAGGATACAACAGCGGACCTCATTGTCCCCTGTGTAACAGATACAGGATACAACAGCGGACCTCATTGTCTCCTGTGTAACAGATACAGGATACAACAGTGGACCTCATTGTCTCCTGTGTAACAGACAGACACAGGATACAACAGTGGACCTCATCGTCTCCTGTGTAACAGACAGATACAGGATACAACAGTGGACCTCATTGTCTCCTGTGTAACAGATACAGGATACAACAGTGGACCTCATTGTCTCCTGTGTAACAGACAGATACAGGATACAACAGTGGACCTCATTGTCTCCTGTGTAACAGATACAGGATACAACAGGATACAACAGTGGACCTCATTGTCTCCTGTGTAACAGACAACAGTGGACCTATTGTCTCCTGTGTAACAAACAGGATACAACAGTGGACCTCATTGTCTCCTGTGTAACAGATACAGGATACAACAGTGGACCTCATTGTCTCCTGTGTAACAGACAGATACAGGATACAACAGTGGACCTCATTGTCTCCTGTGTAACAGATACAGGATACAACAGTGGACCTCATTGTCTCCTTTGTAACAGACAGATACAGGATACAGCAGTGACCCTCATTGTCTCCTGTGTAACAGACACAGGATACAACAGTGGACCGCATTGTCACCTGTGTAGCAGATACAGGATACAACAGTGGACCTCATTGTCTCCTGTGTAACAGACAGATACAGGATACAACAGTGGACCTCATTGTCTCCTGTGTAACAGACAGATACAGGATACAACAGTGGACCTCATTGTCTCCTGTGTAACAGATACAGGATACAACAGTGGACCTCATTGTCTCCTGTGTAACAAACAGATACAGGATACAACAGTGGACCTCATTGTCTCCTGTGTATTGTCTCCTGTGTAACAGACAGATACAGGATACAACAGTGGACCTCATTGTCTCCTGTGTAAAAGATACAGGATACAACAGTGGACCTCATTGTCTCCTGTGTAACAAACAGATTTGTCTCCTTTGTAATAGACACAGGATACAACAGTGGACCTCATTGTCTCCTGTGTAACAGACAGACACAGGATACAACAGTGGACCTCATTGTCTCCTGTGTAACAAACAGATACAGGATACAACAGTGGACCTCATTGTCTCCTGTGTAACAGATACAGGATACAACAGTGGACCTCATTGTCTCCTGTGTAACAAACAGATACAGGATACAACAGTGGACCTCATTGTCTCCTGTGTAACAAACAGATACAGGATACAACAGTGGACCCAATTGTCTCCTGTGTAACAGATACAGGATACAACAGTGGACCTCATTGTCTCCTGTGTAACAGATACAGGATACAACAGTGGACCTCATTGTCTCCTGTGTAACAGACAGATACAGGATACAACAGTGGACCTCATTGTCTCCTGTGTAACAGATACAGGATACAACAGTGGACCTCAATGTCTCCTGTGTAACAAACAGATACAGGATACAACAGTGGACCTCATTGTCTCCTGTGTAACAGATACAGGATACAACAGTGGACCTCATTGTCAGACAGATACAGGATACAACAGTGGACCTTATTGTCTCCTGTGTAACAAACAGATACAGGATACAACAGTGGACCTCATTGTCTCCTGTGTAACAGACAGATACAGGATACAACAGTGGACCTCATTGTCTCCTGTGTAACAGATACAGGATACAACAGTGGACCTCATTGTCTCCTGTGTAACAGACAGATACAGGATAAAACAGTGGACCTCATTGTCTCCTGTGTAACAGACAGATACATGATAAATCAGTGGACCTCATTGTCTCCTGTGTAACAAACAGATACAGGATACAACAGTGGACCTCATTGTCTCCCGTGTAACAAACAGATACAGGACCTCATTGTCTCCTGTGTAACAGATACAGGATACAACAGTGGACCTCATTGTCTCCTTTGTAACAGACAGATACAGGATACAACAGTGACCCTCATTGTCTCCTGTGTAACAGACATAGGATACAACAGTGGACCGCATTGTCTCCTGTGTAACAGACACAGGATACAACAGTGGACCGCATTGTCACCTGTGTAGCAGATACAGGATACAACAGTGGACCTCATTGTCTCCTGTGTAACAGACAGATACAGGATACAACAGTGGACCTCATTGTCTCCTGTGTAACAGACAGATACAGGATACAACAGTGGACCTCATTGTCTCCTGTGTAACAGATACAGGATACAACAGTGGACCTCATTGTCTCCTGTGTAACAGATACAGGATACAACAGTGGACCTCATTGTCTCCTGTGTAACAAACAGATACAGGATACAACAGTGGACCTCATTGTCTCCTGTGTAACAGATACAGGATACAACAGTGGACCTCATTGTCTCCTGTGTAACAAACAGATACAGGATACAACAGTAGACCTCATTGTCTCTTGTGTAACAAACAGATACAAGATACAACAGTGGACCCAATTGTCTCCTGTGCAACAGATACAGGATACAACAGTGGATCTCATTGTCTCCTGTGTAACAAACAGATACAGGATACAACAGTTACAGGATACAACAGTGGACATTGTCTCCTGTGTAACAAACAGATACATGATACAAAAGTGGACCTCATTGTCTCCTGTGTAACAGATACAGGATACAACAGTGGACCTCATTGTCTCCTGTGTAACAGACACAGGATACAACAGTGGACCTCATTGTCTCCTGTGTAACAGACAGATACAGGATGCAACAGTGGACCTCATTGTCTCCTGTGTAACAGACACCGGATACAACAGTGGACCTCATTGTCTCCTGTGTAACAGATACAGGATACAACATTGGACCTCATTGTCTACTGTGTAACAAACAGATACAGGATACAACAGCGGACCTCATTGTCTCCCGTGTAACAGACACAGGATACAACAGTGGACCTCATTGTCTCCTGTGTAACAGACACAGGATACAACAGTGGACCTCATCGTCTCCTGTGTAACAGACACAGGATACAACAGTGGACCTCATCGTCTCCTGTGTAACAGACACAGGATACAACAGTGGACCTCATTGTCTCCTGTGTAACAGACAGATACAGGATACAACAGTGTCATTGTCTCCTGTGTAACATATGGACCTTTGTCCTTGTAACATAAAGGGGATCATTGTCTCCTTGTACACAATACAGTCATACAGTGATACAACATCGTCATACAGTGATACACCCTCGTCATACAGTGATACATCCTCATCATAAAGGGGTACACCCTCGTCATACGGTGATTTATCTTCGTCATAAAGGGGTATTACCTTGTCATGGAGTGATTTATCCTCGTCATAAAGGGTACACCCTTGTCATATGGTGATTTATCCTCATCATAAAGGGGTACACCCTTCTGTCATTTACGCTGAGATGATTTATCTTCGTCATAAAGGGGTATTACCTTGTCGTGGAGTGATTTATCCTCGTCATAAAGGGTACACCCTTGTCATATGGTGATTTATCCTCGTCATAAAGGGTACACCCTCGTCATTTACACTCGTCTTACAGTGATACACCTCATCATAAAGGGGTATTACCTCGTCATACAGTGATACATCCTCGTCATAAAGGGGTATTACCTCGTCATACAGTGATACATCCTCGTCATAAAGGGGTACACCCTCGTCATACAGTGATACATCCTCGTCATAAAGGGGTACACCCTCGTCATACAGTGATACATCCTCGTCATAAAGGGGTACACCCTCGTCATACAGTTAAAAATCCTCGTCTTAAAGGGTACACCTTCGTCATTCAGTGATACATCCTCGTCATAAAGGGGTACACCCTCGTCATACAGTGATACATCCTCGTCATAAAGGGGTACACCCTCGTCATACAGTGATACATCCTCGTCATAAAGGGGTACACCCTCGTCATACAGTGATACATCCTCGTCATAAAGGGGTATTACCTCGTCATACAGTGATACATCCTCGTCATAAAGGGGTACACCCTCGTCATACAGTGATACACCCTCGTCATAAAGGACACACCCTCTTCAAACAGTGATACACCCTCGTCATACGGTGATTTATCTTCGTCATATGGGGACACACCCGCGTCATATATAGAAAACATCATTGTAGATATCAAGACTATTTGATGTGTACATTTGTTATCTTCCTTTACAATGTACATTTATGAGACTTTGATATCAGGTGTGTTGACCTACTACCATCCTCACATCAAGCATCTTACCTTTTCTCGCGGTTGCCACACCTCTGACATGTCTACATTCATGCCGGTACTTTTAGAATTTGACCGCACCGCCCTCCCAGATGCGGCCATATCCTTGGGGAACGTTTCCAGTGTTGATCGTGTGTCCTACAGTCCAGATGAACATGTGATTTTCCAAAATACGTGACGTTTTACACACAATCTGATGACAAATAGGTCAGGTTTTACTTGAAATGTCGCCTGCTTCAATCTGAAAATAATCCTTTGATACTTAAATCAGCCATGTTGATAATATCACCTAGCTGTGGTATCTTGTCGTTTAAACCTATATTAACTTTAAGTTGGTATCGTAATAACACGTCACACAAATCCCTCCCTAGTCGTCGTTAGTAAAACGTATTGTGCACATTCAAGCCATACATCCACTGTCGTTCGTTACAACAGGGGGAAGTGGTCAGTGTCGGTTGACCGGATCGCTGCGACAGTGGACAAAGTAGTGTCACCAGTAGATACGGGCAATAATTAGCGTGCTCCGCTGACACAAACACTACACACTCCGCTAGAATTCCTCAGTCCCTCTTTCACAGCCAATCATTGACAAATTGATTTTCTGAAATAAGAAAAAAGACAAATAGGTTTGTGTTGAAAAGATCGATATATTTTAACATGTATATTTAAATATGTTATAATAAATACGCAATATCGCCTCTGACAGAGTAGGATATATACCGTATATGGCAGAGATGGTGCCAATATCGTGGGAGATGGCCGCACTTGTTTGTTAAGTGACAGCTCCCTGTGGACAAACAAATTGTAGTCTCTCGATGGCGCAAAGATCTATCATCTCATTTACATAAGTACAGCCATCTTTTCGACCAGTATCTGAGATCAAAATCTAACGTAACGTTGTAGGATACATTTCTTAATCTGTGTAAACGTTCGTAATTATCTGTCCGTGTTCTGTACATGTTTCCATGTTCATAATCGGTATAATTTTGATATTACTGGTATATGTTCGTTAGAATATAGACTAATGATACAACAGTATGTAAGTAAGAATATAGACTAATGATACACCAGTAAGTAAGTAAGAATATAGACTAATGATACACCAGTAAGTAAGTATATAGACTAATGATACACCAGTAAGTAAGAATATAGACTAATGATACACCAGTAAGTAATATAGACTAATGATACACCAGTATGTAAGTAAGAATATAGACTAATGATACACCAGTATGTAAGTAAGAATATAGACTAATGATACACCAGTATGTAAGTAATATAGACTAATGATACACCAGTATGTAAGAATATAGACTAATGATACACCAGTATGTAAGTAAGAATATAGACTAATGATACACCAGTATGTAAGTAAGAATATAGACTAATGATACACCAGTATGTAAGTAAGAATATAGACTAATGATACACCAGTATGTAAGAATATAGACAATGATACACAGTATGTAAGTAAGAATATAGACTAATGATACACCAGTATGTAAGAATATAGACTAATGATACACCAGTATGTAGTAAGAATATAGACTAATGATACACCAGTATGTAAGAATATAGACTAATGATACACCAGTATGTAAGTAAGAATATAGACTAATGATACACCAGTATGTAAGAATATAGACTAATGATACACCAGTATGTAAGTAAGAATATAGACTAATGATACACCAGTATGTAAGTAAGAATATAGACTAATGATACACCAGTATGTAAGTAAGAATATAGACTAATGATACACCAGTATGTAAGAATATAGACTAATGATACACCAGTATGTAAGTAAGAATATAGACTAATGATACACCAGTATGTAAGTAAGAATATAGACTAATGATACACCAGTATGTAAGTAAGAATATAGACTAATGATACACCAGTAAGTAAGAATATAGACTAATGATACACCAGTAAGTAAGTATATAGACTAATGATACACCAGTAAGTAAGAATATAGACTAATGATACACCAGTATGTAAGTAAGAATATAGACTAATGATACACCAGTATGTAAGTAAGAATATAGACTAATGATACACCAGTAAGTAAGTAATATATAGACTAATGATACACCAGTAAGTAAGTAAGAATATAGACTAATGATACACCAGTAAGTAAGTAAGAATATAGACTAATGATACACCAGTATGTAAGTTAGAATATAGACTAATGATACACCAGTAAGTAAGTAAGAATATAGACTAATGAAACACCAGTAAGTATGTAAGAATATAGACTAATGATACACCAGTATGTAAGTAAGAATATAGACTAATGATACACCAGTATGTAAGTAAGAATATAGACTAATGATACACCAGTATGTAAGTAAGAATATAGACTAATGATACACCAGTAAGTATATATAGACTAATGATACACCAGTATGTAAGTAATATAGACTAATGATACACCAGTATGTAAGTTAGAATATAGACTAATGATACACCAGTAAGTAAGAATATAGACTAATGATACACCAGTAAGTAAGAATATAGACTAATGATACACCAGTATGTAAGTAAGAATATAGACTAATGATACACCAGTATGTAAGTAAGAATACAGTATGTAAGTAAGAATATAGACTAATGATACACCAGTAAGTAAGTATATAGACTAATGATACACCAGTAAGTAAGTATATAGACTAATGATACACCAGTAAGTAAGAATATAGACTAATGATACACCAGTATGTAAGTAAGAATATAGACTAATGATACACCAGTAAGTAAGAATATAGACTAATGATACACCAGTATGTAATAGTAAGAATATAGACTAATGATACACCAGTATGTAAGTATATATAGACTAATGATACACCAGTATGTATAGTAATGAATATAGACTAATGATACACCAGTATAAGAATATAGACTAATGATACACCAGTATGTAAGTAAGAATATAGACTAATGATACACCAGTATGTAAGAATATAGACTAATGATACACCAGTATGTAAGTAAGAATATAGACTAATGATACACCAGTATGTAAGTAAGAATATAGACTAATGATACACCAGTATGTAAGAATATAGACTAATGATACACCAGTATGTAAGAATATAGACTAATGATACACCAGTATGTAAGAAGAATATAGACTAATGATACACCAGTATGTAAGTAAGAATATAGACTAATGATACACCAGTATGTAAGTAAGAATATAGACTAATGATACACCAGTATGTAAGTAAGAATATAGACTAATGATACACCAGTATGTAAGTAAGAATAGAATATAGACTAATGATACACCAGTACACCAGTAAGTAAGAATATAGACTAATGATACACCAGTATGTAAGAATATAGACTAATGATACACCAGTATGTAAGTAAGAATATAGACTAATGATACACCAGTATGTAAGTAAGAATACAGACTAATGATACACCAGTATGTAAGTAAGAATACAGACTAATGATACACCAGTATGTAAGTACACACCAGTATGTAAGTAAGAATATAGACTAATGATACACCAGTATGTAAGTAAGAATATAGACTAATGATACACCAGTATGTAGTAAGAATATAGAATATACACCAGTACTAATGATACACCAGTATGTATAGTAAGAATATAGACTAATGATACACCAGTATGTAAGTAATATATAGACTAATGATACACCAGTATGTAAGTAAGAATATAGACTAATGATACACCAGTATGTAAGTAAGAATATAGACTAATGATACACCAGTATGTAAGTAGAGAATATAATGATACACCAGTACTAATGATACACCAGTATGTAAGTATATAGACTAATGATACACCAGTATGTAAGTATATAGTAAGAATATAGACTAATGATACACCAGTATGTAAGTAAGTAATATAGACTATAGTAAGAATATAGACTAATGATACACCAGTATGTAAGTAATATAGACTAATGATACACCAGTATGTAAGAATATAGAATATAGACTAATGATACACCAGTATGTAAGTAGAATATAGACTAATGATACACCAGTATGTAAGTATAGTAATGATATATAGACTAATGATACACCAGTATGTAAGTAAGAATATAGACTAATGATACACCAGTATGTAAGTAAGAATATAGACTAATGATACACCAGTATGTAAGACTAATGAATATAGAATATAGACTAATGATATATAGTACTAATGATACACCAGTATGTAAGTAAGAATATAGACTAATGATATAGAATATAGACTAATGATACACCAGTATGTATGTAAGAATATAGACTAATGATACACCAGTATGTAAGTAAGAATATAGACTAATGATACACCAGTATGTAAGAATATAGACTAATGATACACCAGTATGTAAGAATGTAGACTAATGATACACCAGTAAGTAAGAATATAGACTAATGATACACCAGTATGTAAGTAAGAATATAGACTAATGATACACCAGTATGTAAGTAATATATATAGACTAATGATACACCAGTATAAGTAAGAATATAGACTAATGATACACCAGTATAGAAGAATATAGACTAATGATACACCAGTATGTAAGTAAGAATATAGACTAATGATACACCAGTATGTAAGAATATAGACTAATGATACACCAGTATGTAAGAATATAGACTAATGATACACCAGTATGTAAGTAAGAATATAGACTAATGATACACCAGTATGTAAGTAAGAATATAGACTAATGATACACCAGTATGTAAGTAAGAATATAGACTAATGATACACCAGTATGTAAGTAAGAATACAGACTAATGATACACCAGTATGTAAGTAAGAATATAGACTAATGATACACCAGTAAGTAAGTAAGAATATAGACTAATGATACACCAGTATATAAGTAAGAATATAGACAAATGATACACCAGTATGTAAGTAAGAATATAGACTAATGATACACCAGTATGTAAGTAAGATACATATGTACTAATGATACACCAGTATGTAAGAATATAGACTAATGATACACCAGTATGTAAGAATATAGACTAATGATACACCAGTATGTAAGAATATATAATACTAATGATACACCAGTATGTAAGAATATAGACTAATGATACACCAGTATGTAAG